CAAAAACAAAAAATTCACACACGAAAGAAAAGGAAAGAAATTCTTCCTCTGTCCTAGCTTATGGACTGACCCACAAGATCAGTGGTTTGAATTCCAATTCCCAAACACACCTTGTTGTTACCTGCAAAGCTGGAGTGGACAGAAAAGAGCTCCTGAACACGAGTCACATAACTTATACACCCCTTTTCTTGAAGGCTCTATATGCCTACTGACTTTCCCTTCTGTGGAAGATCTAATGAACATGTGTTGCCATGAGATTATTCCATTGAAAGTGGCTCCACCCTTTTTTTTGGGCGTTGGGGAGGAGGGTACCAAAAGGTGTTAATGACACCTTGAGTTCTACTTAATTTTACCATTTGACAAAAATGTATGCGAATACTTGACCAATAGGTGTACAGTAAGTGTATGTTCCTTACTGTATTATGAGTCAGACACTCCTAAATAAACCTTTATTCAAGATATTAATAGAATTGAACGATTGATTCATGTTTCAGATAAAACCTGTCAGAGATAGTGTGACAGAGGCGTTGCAGCTATGGAAGAAGATTGCAGGAAAAGGAGATGGAGCTGCGGATGACCAGGATGGGGAAAATTCTGAATATGCTGAGTTGTCAGAGAAGGACCTTCCAAATCTTGGTGAGAGAAGAACTGAGACATCAGCGAAGGATTCATCCAATGGACTGTCCCCTTCTAGTGTTCCCAAAGCGAGGGGTACCAACATTTCAGATAAAGCAGCTGGGATATTAAAGAAGAAGGCCCCAGCATTGACTGACAAAGAATTGAACCCAGAGTTCTTCCAGAATCTTGAAACAAGGGGTTCAGGTGATTTGCCTGTAGAAGTGGTGGTCCCACGCAGATGTCTAAAACTCTTCACAATCACACAATGAGGAAGACACTGAGGCAAATGATACTGATTCAAGTGCAAGGTTAAAGGGTCCCTGCCAGCCAGACGACCAATCTGCTAACTTTAAATACCGGAATATTGAAAGGGGGACTGCTGGTGCATTTTCTAGACAACGAGATATTGATGATAGGAGTGAAGTAAATCAAAGAGAGTCATCCAGTATTCATGTGGGGTTTTCCAAAACTGACGGTCCAGTCTGAGGGTTTTTGTCAATAACAGAGCAAATTGGTTGGCTATCCAGAGGCAGTTATTACAACTGGAGAGGCAACAAGCTCATCTAATGAACATGTTGCAGGTCTGCTAAGTTAATTTACATGAAAAAAATGGTTCCTATCTCTGGTTTTCTCCTTAACAATTTCCTTACAATGCAGGATTTCATGGGTGGGTCTCATGATAGCATGGTGACTCTAGAGAACAGAGTATGGGGTCTCGAGAGAGTTGTTGAAGATATGGCACGGGATTTGTCAATGTCAGCCAGTAGAAGAGGTGGTCATTTTATGTTGGGGTTCCAGGGATCTTCAAATAGGTCCCTGAGCAAATACAATGGCTTCCCTGACTACTCTAGTGCCAAGTTGGGAGGGGTGGTGATGGGCGAGTTTCCTTCAGTGAGAGGCTTGTACCGTCCAACGGTATTGTTTCAGGCATGAGGGGTAGGGGCCCTCCATGGAGATCTGAGGCGCCTGAAGTTTGGGACTTGCACTCCTTTGGAAAAAATGGCCAAATGAGCTCTAGGAGAGCTCTAGGTGGTGGTTCCATAGGCAGTAGGTCACCCAAATCAGAACATGAAAATGATCAGGTTGGCAGCAGGAGAGCTTGGGATAAAGGAGCTGGACCTGTTAGATTTGGGGAGGGCCCTTCTGCAAGAAGTGTCTGGCAAGCTTCGAAGGATGAGGCAACCTTGGAAGCAATTCGAGTAGCTGGTGAAGACAATGGAACTGCTCGAAGTGCAAGAGTTCATATACCAGAGTTGACTGCTGAATCATTAAGGGATGACAATATTGTGCGAGAGCGTGATCCAGTTTGGACATCTTGGAGTAATGCCATTGATGCACTTCATGTGGGTGATATTGATTTGGCTTTTGCAGAAGTTTTGTCTGCTAGGGATGACCTCTTGCTAGTGAAGTTAATGGACAGATCTGGCCCTGTAATTGACCAACTCTCAACCGAGGTAGCAAGTGAGGTTTTGCATGCTGTTGCACAGTTTTTACTGGAGCAAAACTTATCTGATATCTGTTTATCTTGGATTCAACAGGTATGGATTGTGTTTTATAATTTTCTGGTCTTCAATCTGCTTTACCTGAGCTAGTTCTGTTATTGCAAAATTTTGACAAATAGTACACAGATGTCATATGCATAACAATCAGTATAATAATTATCTGGTAACTGTAAGCAATTTGCTAGTAATTTTAAGCAACTATTTGCAAGTATAACAATATGAATATTCTTGTTATTCATAGAGTTTTCCTGAGATGGTGTAGTTACACGAAACGAGATGATTTAAGTCTTGAAATAAGGTGGAAAACTGACAGGAAATCTTTTATGGTAAGACATGTTTAGGACACATAAGAATAACACCCAGTTTAGTCCCCATGAATGGGGTTTGGGATGGGTAGATTGGGTGAAGAGTGAAGATCTTTGGCATTATTTGTACAAAGTGGTTGCCTTCAGATTCGAACTAACACAACTTCAAGGTTATTGGACTGATTTTAACCATGAACCAATGGCATTTCTAGAAATAGAAACTGATAAAAGAAAACTGGTGGAGATAGTTTAGTGATCAGCAATGAATCTATATCCTGACTCTAGTTGTTCAAGGACACAGCTTGCATTTGGGCAATCAGTTGCTGTTCCTGGGTCCTACCAGATGACATTTAACAATACTTTAGTATGTAAAATGCCTTAGTTTTGCGAAGATTACAGAAGTTAGTTGCACCTATGCGGCAATCACCAATAATCTGTGTCATATATCTTGAAAAAAGCATCACTCTGTATTTCTTAGCAGGAATACCATAACGAATAACATAGCATGCAAAATGTTACCAACTCCCGGGTACTTCCTGGGATCTAACTTCAATATTTTGTTGAAAGTTGACAGGAAGTAGCCGCACCATCTATTATCTTTCCGTGGCTACGGAGTCTAGAGAAGAGAAACTATATGAGTGGCGATTTTTCAATAATTGGAGATCTATTGGCTCACCGAGCATAGAAGTGAATTGAATTTAAAATTCCAATTTCATACTCAGACTACAGAGTTGAACCAGAGTTGACCTTAAAAACAGCAAAGAGAGAAGTAACTACCAACTGCTGTTGCAAAATATATGATTTGCGTTTGGTTTATCAATATAGAAGATAAAGAGAGGATTAGGGATTCCCTCAATTGAATTTTTAACTTCTAGGATAACCATTCTAGACACCGATGTGGTAACAATATTGTTACGAAAAAATTGGTAACACCACAGCCAAGTAAATATATGAATCACATGTGAACTCCCTACTTTCAAAATCATGATATGACCTTACATGATTAGGTATTGTACCATTTTGGCTAACAAGAATGTTACTCTGTCATTGATTGAAAGACCCACTTTTCTTCTATCATCATAATTTGTTGATTTTCTAAACTATGATGCTTTCTATTCTCCAGTTCTCACTTGTAGTGATGCTGCAATGTCACAATTTTTTTTTCTTTTGGATTGATGATTAATGTTTTACTCGAGTGTTCTTGAAGTTGTGCTTACTTCTTTGCTGCCTGATCTCCAGTTGGTAGATGTTGCCATGGAAAATGGATCCGATGTCTTAGGCATTCCTATGGAAGTAAAACGGGAGCTGCTGCTAAATTTACATGAAGCTTCTTCAACAATTGACCTACCTGAGGAATGGGAAGGTGCAACGCTGGACCAACTCTTACTGCAGTTGGCGTCAGCCTGGGAAATTGATTTGCAGCAGCTGGGGAAGTAATGCCTGCCTCTCGGGATTTGTATTCTATGTTTATCGTTCATGTCTGGTGGTTAGGATGATACATCTTGTAACTACACATATAGTGAACTAATCGGGGAACAGTCGTCGCAAATTGATGAGTCCATCATCAAACTCTGTTTCGAATAAGTGATTGGAATTTGGAATTGAATATAGTTTTTTTTTTTGGCTTTAATACAAATTCATTTTGACATATGACAATATTTGCCCTTCTTTAAATTTCAACAAGTACTAGGCAGACTGTGTGTCTGAAATGTTGAAACACAGCTAATGATGCAGAGCTGATCAATCGTTTGAAAACTCTTCCACTATTTATATTTTTAAAATATATTTTAAAATATTAGCACCAAGTCCACAAGGATGTACAAAATTCTGATCAAACCATAAAGAAAATGCGAGAAGAAGCTGTTTTCTCAGTCTCTGCTCCAACCACTATCTGGTGCATTGTTTTCAATATTCTCAGCAGTATTTCTTTATGATTACACTGATTCCTCTGCTTCTGCCTCATCGATCTTATTTACAGATAAGTACTCGAGAGCAGTTACCACATCGCTGATCAAAGGCCGGACACTGGCTTCCTCCTGAAGACACATTGCTGCTATCGCAAGAGCTTGGTAGAGACCCTTTATGGGGTAGTTCCCTTCAAGCAATGGGTCTGCCATTAAATGAAACATCCTTTTGTCCTTGAACAAAGGTTGTGCCTGCATATTTGTAACATTGTGAATTTGCAAGCCAACCTCTAACAATATACCAGAAAAACTTCCATAGAATGATTAAGCTCTGAATGTAAGTAGTTTCAAAGTGGTTCATAACTGTTGAAGAAGATTTAGCTTTTTATTGGTTGAAAGTTTAAAATCCTGGTAAATAGAAACTTCAGAAATCATGTATAACAATGCAGAATAAGACATACCCAAGTAACAAGGTTCTGCTCTTCACTAGGTCTTGAGTTATCGATAACTCTCCTTCCCGTGATTATCTCCAAAAACACTACACCAAAGCTGTAAACATCGGACTTTGTAGTTAACTGGCCTGTCAATGCATACTCGGGTGCACAGTAGCCGTAGGTTCCCATCACCCTGGTAGACACATGGCTCTTATCACCAGTTGGACCTAGCTTGGCAAGTCCGAAATCAGAAAGCTTTGGGTTAAATCTTTCATCTAATAGTATGTTAGATGCTTTGAAATCGCGATAAATCACTGGAGGGTTAGCTGTTTCATGCAAGTACTCTAGTCCTCTGGCAGCCCCTTCAGCAATTTTCATCCTAGTATTCCAATCTAGAGGCTTTCTCTGTGAACCTATCTCTGAAAATCAGAGTTTCACTGATCAGTATAGATATCTGATAAGAGTCCTCGCAGGGTCTGTTTGTGTAGCAAGAAAATGCTAGAAAATATAAGAAAGAGAAAATTTTAAAATTTTACATGCGTTTGTTTAGCATGAAATAGAAAATGATAGAAAAAATAATTTTCTCTCATGTTTAGATTTTCTCACATCTAACTAACTTTTTTTCTTACAAAAAACACAAAAAAAAAGTAAGAAAGTTGTATTCAATAACTTAACTTCCCATTTTACTCTTATTTTTCTTAAAATATTCAATTAGTTATTAATTTTAAAAAAATATGTATAAATTAGGCTAATCATATAATTTGGTGTAGAGATTAAGGTTCAAGTCGTTCTTTGTTTCTAACTTAGGTTAGTAGTCAATTTTTTAAAAATTTGAATAATAAAAAATATGTTTTTCTTCTTCAGACAGTGTTAAAATACTTGAAGATAATTTAGACAATTAGAAAATTTTTCTTATAACTTTCTTTGTTTTTTTAAATAATGGAATGAAATTATTTTAAAATTTTCTTAGAAATTTTTTACGCTAACCAAATACATGCATGAAAATATGTTTTCTTTCACTTTCTTTTCTTTTACTTCACTTTCTACCTCTTTTATTTTTCATCACCTTTTTCTTGCTAACCAAACGGACCCATATTGAAAAAGGAAAAAATTGAAAGGGGTTCACAACATTGTTCAAAGAATCGCCGAGTCTGATACGAATGCGAGAGAAAAACAGTGTAGACATACCAAGAAGGTGATCTTCTAGTGAACCATTGGACATGTACTCATAGACTAATATCCTCTGCTCACCATCGGCGCAGTATCCGACCAAATTGACAAGGTTAGAATGGTGAAGAAGAGACAGCATCAGTACCTCCACAAGAAATTCTCTGTTTCCTTGAAATCCATTTCTATCAAGTTGCTTAACAGCAACATCCTTTATGACAAACATTTATATAGAATAAGAGATTGAAATAAAAATATGAACTAGAAACAAAATGATATGTAAGAGAAAAATGATTTGCAACATTACTATGTTTTTGCTTTGAAGGTGTCCTTTGTAAACCCTCCCAAAACCACCTTCACCAAGCAATGATTCAGGGTTGAAGTTTTGAGTTGCAACACACAGTTCACGGAATGAAAATATCTGAGCAGAAATATTTCCTTTTCCGATTTTTTCGATCTCTTCGGCTATGTACCTCCTCCTGCTGCTATCTGCACATTGAATTACAGTCAAATTTGGATCAGGTAATCAAAAGTATTGTGGTTGCCAAAACCATATTCTCCACCATCATAATATCAAAGGAACAACTGAACAAAGAGAGATCGGGTCAAAGAGCTGGATAAAGAGATTCAATCGTTGGAGAAGAGCAAACTGAAGAAAGAAGTCACTACTGCAACTCTTATACAGTAAAGAAAGGAAATAAAGATCTATTTCGCTTTGTAGGGATAGGGGGGGCTTGGAATCGTCGTGGGAATCTTTCTGGTTCCCGCTCCCTCCTTCCTGGCCCTCTTGCTTTCTATGAGTAAGATTCCTATGAGCCCATGTGCGATCATGCAAAATAGATAGGGTTCGATATTACGAATCCAATATAAGAAATGACAAGATTCTAAAATGTTTTGAGTATGGTGCAATTCTGTGGAAAAATCCATGTATAGGACCAGGAGTTATTATCTACATTTTGCTCAAAAATTGGATTTTGGCAAGAAAACTGCTGTCAATAAGTTTTTCTTTCCTCAATCTCAAACCCAAAAAATGAAAAAAAATTCAAGTTCAACAAATATTCGGTATTCAAGAGGTTCAAAGCCCAGCATAAGATTGAAAATCGCTCCAATGAAGATGAATTGGAAGGAAAAGTTTCAGTTATTAAAATTAACCATAATTATGTGCAAAAGGCTAATGCATCTGTTGAACAAGATAAGGGACTGATGGGGCAAAAGGACATGGAATTATGCCTATAAGATGAACAGATTTGAATATGACAATCATCCAAATTACAAAAAAGGAAATTAAAGATACCAGTTTTGAATGAAATGTTAGCAAAAGAAGCTAATGTTTTGGTGTCTTTGTATTCCTGAATGCTTTTTTTCAATGACTTTCTCAGGATCTTTTCTTCTGACTGGCAACATGAAAAGCAGCCCATTTTCCTTTCTCTCCCCTACTTCCCAATCATACCCAGATTCAAAAAATCACCAAACCAGTGGACAAACAAACAAAAACCCTGTTCAAGGACACAATTTCAAGGTTGAAATTCAGATGAATATTGGGAATCTTTGTCCAGGAAAAATCCACTCGTCTGGTCTCTCAGGAAACTAAGAAGAATTTCCACAATTGTTTTTTTTATCATTTTCCTTCAAAATGCCAGGTGTTCCATTTGACTTGGTCAAAATTGCTAATCATAGTAACAGAAAATAACCGTTTTAAGGTGGAAATTTTATCTTTAATGAGGAAAAAATGGATGTTTTTCAGCCAGTTAATTCTCTCTGCTATTTTTAGCTTACAAAATTAATGCATATGTTTACATCAAGATTGATCTTAATGGCCACGACTTTACTAATTTTTGAGTTAGTTTTTTCGGGCAATCAGATGATATATGTCATGGTTGGGGTTTTATTTTTAGGGTTCAAAGTATCGATCGATACCGATTTATCTTCCGATGTAATCCCATTTCACGTTCGGTGTCAAACACAACTCTTGCAATAATTTACCGAGTCTTTCGAAAATTCTTCAAGTGAATCCTGAATTATCCGAGTTATCGCCGTTGAATTGACCAATATGACCATAAATCATGGATTAACCCAGAATGGCCAATGAGATTTAATCAATTTAAGGCTAAACAGATAAGGTATTCCCGGCTTAAGATTACACAGAGCTCGAGTTATCCAAATAAAACCATTAGCCTTGGTTGAGTTAAGGAGATGAGGTTGATCACTATAACAATGATGGGCTTTAGTGACAAATTTTTTAGTGACCAAGTTATTTTTGTCATTAATGATACCTTTTTAGTGAGGACATGTGAAATTGTTATTAATGATCTAGGATGAGTGACGACAACACTATTTGTTACAAAAAGTTAACGTTTAGTGATGAATTATTATTTGTCGTTGTAATTTCGTCACTAGAAATGTGAAAAATTGAATAAATAGTAATGAATTTTATTGTTGTCACTCAAAATGATAATCAATTACTTTTAGTAATGAGATTAGTTGCCTCTGAAAGTTTCAAGGTTTGGTGATAACTTTAATGTCGTCACTAAAACACTAATGGTTTTAGTGGTGACTTTTATGTCGTCACTAGAACTTTCATAGTTTTAGTGACAACATTGGTGTTGTTATTAAAAATTTTATACTTTTAGTGATGATTGTCAAGTCGTCACTAAATTTTTTTTTTTTGAGTAACTAAATTAATTATGTCACTAAAAATATAAAAATTTATGTCACTACATCGGTGTTGTCAAGTGGCTTATTTTATATTGTTTGGCAAATTTCAAATTATACCACATCACCTCCTAACCTACAAAAATAAAGAAACAAAATGCTCTTGTTATTTCTAGACTAAACTACATCTTAATTAAGTTTGTTAACAAAATTCTGAAACATCCTTAATTCATAAAAATAGTAAAACCAAAAATTTATTTAATTTAAATATCAATACATGCCACAACCTAGCTAGTATAGTGGTTGTAAGGCAAGTCGAAAAAAACTCGAGTTAAACCAAATTTTTAAAACTCTCAAGCTAAGCTTTATTTGAAATTTTCAATGTCAGTCATGGTTAATTTTTGAAATTAGATGATATGCAAGTAGTGGTGAAA